TTAAAAATAAGGACTCAAATCAAAGGGAGGCCAGAATCTGCCATCCCGACTACTCAAATGGTTTGAAGCCGTTCAACATTTCGTGCACACATAAGGCCAGTTATGGGTGGTTTGGCGATGGAATTCACGGGTTAGAGAGCTAAAGAATAAAATGACGAAAATCGCAGCAGAAGCTTGGAATTAAAAGGGCGTAAAAGGCTGCGCAAATATGACATCTGCAAATTAGGCGTGTCATTGGGCCAAACAAGTATTTCGCAATAAGCTTCCACCTTAAGTATGCAATAGGGTCAATGAAAATGAACGTTAACAAACCTTGATAGAGAAAGGCGTCCTCACAAAGAGAAGAAATAACCCATTCGCCGACAGCATCTCGCCAAAACTTCAGAGACATCAAATAAAATGAAGATAACAGATAAATTGACTGCAATTTGGTGACACAAAAGTTTACCAGAGCAAAGTGACTCACTTCATCAAAGTTCAAGTTGGACGCACTATTCCACGCCTGACTCAATTGCCGAAGTGAGCTGGGACCTAGACGCACAAAAGGGAGGATCATTACACCAGTATTTGTTGAGATAGCCATCAAAAAACCCTACAGATGTTGCTCCAAGATAGGGAGGAAGAGCAGAAGTGAGGTTGTGTAGATGCAATTAAACCACAGTTTCTGACACCCATAAACACGTAATTATTATCTCACCAAAAGATATACCGAAACGAAGAAAAAGAATGCAAGAAATAGGTTATGGTTAAATGAGAGAGAGGAGGAAGGCACAGCACCCACCGTCCTCATATACCCCCACGGTTGCGAGCATGAGTTGCAGGAGGTTTCGACTGCTGCTTAACCGAAGGGGTGTGGCTGGGGAGGGATGCACCACGGCGGAAAGAAAGAGCACCGAATTAAGCGATAAATCAACCTCATTCGGAAGACCTGACATGAGAGACTTTTCAGCGGTCTCCAAGACGGAGACGTGACGCAACCCAAAGAAGTTATCTGGATGTGGCCGCGAATGCAGCTCCTCCAACTGCTGCGAAGGAGGAAGCTGGTCGAAGGGAGAGGGGACTCGGGAATCCTAGTAAATGAATAGTATTCGTCTTACTTGGCCCAAAGACAACAGGGTGAATAAGACAATGAGAATCACATACCTGGTTGTAGCGATGAGATGGATAAAAATCCCTATTAATGAATCCAAGATGGGTAACCGAACGATGCATCCCATAATGAATGGGTGCTGGCTTAGGGTTGAAAATTCCGAGCATCCTTTCTACGGACGGAGGAGTGAAGACATCACCGGAATTTTCATGAAACTCATCCTGAATTTGCGACCACAAGCTGTCATTCTTGAGATGTGGATAGGACTCATTTTCAAAGGCGATCAGATATTGACAGTAGACGCGGCGCAGAGCAACACTGTAATTTACACAGGCCGATGGACATCCAATATCCTTTGAGACCGCCTCCCAAAGGTCTTTTTCTGTGACTTTGGAGTAACCACCATGTTTGACAACCGAAGTAAAAAGGGAGTATAGATTCAAAGTAGTACCACGAAGAGTAGGTAGGGACGCATGGAATCGTCTGCATTTCATTCATTAAAAAAGTGAACATACCGCTGACGCCGATTAAAATTCACATACAGATTGTAAAATGTGCGCTCATCTGGAATCGTTTCAACATTTTTTACATCAGGAGCACTGGATATGCGCCTGATGTGAGCGGAATACATTATTCGGTATCTAAAACAATGTAAACAATGAATGTATTCACGATAAACGCTCCTGATGCCCAGGAAAACAGTTGTTCAGTGAAGAAAATCAACTTTTCAAATTCAAAACTTTAAAATTAACAAATAATTTCGAACAAAATTAACTGTCTACCCACCAAAGCTGAGGTACTTGCATCTATACGGTAGCAACCATGAAAATTCCAGGAAACCCAAACTTGCCGGCTTTATTAAAGTGTTGATCGAGTGAAACAATGCGATGCAGATAAATAATAAAGAAATTAATACAAAGTCTTTTGCTTTTACGAAACTTAAGAAACTTTGAAACGAGTGAATATCAAACCTATTTTCAAAATTAGACCCTATTTACAGTTTTGAGTTCCCCATTTAAAAGTTGCTTATAACGTAAAGAAATTGCAAAATTCCCAAGCTTATTTCTCTTGTTATCATCGACAGTAGCAAAATTTGGTATTTGTATATGCTTTATGGCTTACTCAACGCAGGTATTTTTGACCACTGTCAACCACATTCTTAACAAGAATTTTTTCATAGTCGAAGTTGATGTAGAGCGATTAAGTAGATATCGACGGAGACATATTAATCGCATCTTCAGGCCGCTACCTAACTCTCATACTCAAGCACGAATTTGTATCGACCTACACGTCTTAGGCAATCTGCTCTTCCTATAATTTCGTCCTGCTTAGAAGCAGTATATAGAAAGGATCGATGCAGTTTTCATACATCCTCAAGTGTTTCATAGAGCCTCGCCCCATTTAATCGAATGTGAAGTTCATAAAAGCATTCACATAAGAATTGGCTCATAAGCCCCTCTGCTCCTTTGGTCTTGCAATTGGCGCTGCTCAGTCCTGCTTACTTCTCTGAATTGCACGCCGCTGATGGCAGGCTAGGGAAGATCCCACGTGCCCACTTAACAAGCGCCCTTACATCAGCATGCTGCGATGTCCGAAGTGGAAAGTTGACTAAGGGAAAGCTCTGAGACAAGTGACTAGACGAATTCCACGAAATTTCCCTG